ATATATGTATGTAGATGCCTAGATGGGAGCATATTCAACTGTTGAAAGTGTTGTAGCTCTATACTTATGGTGATTGATGACTTGTTTGATGCATAGTTGAGACTAGAGAGGGTGGATGTATACAGGTAGATGCCTAGTTGGGAACATATTAAATGGCATCAACACAGACTGAGGTAGCTATCCGTATTTTGGTCAAATTGACGGGACTGTGCATCTAGGCATGGTTTTGGGTCTTGGCAATTTGTTCTGATTCGACCTGAAGTTGTTTCTTTTAGCTTTAAGAGTCGGATTTGAGAAGTAAAGAGACTTGGTCTCAGAAAGCTTATGCTTCCATTCGACCTTAAATCCCTGTTAAACCTTCTTTCCTCAAATCTGGTGTGTCTTCACTGTTGATCCATAAATAAACTGAAGCAACACATGTACCTTGTGTTTCATACAACTTGTTGTTTGCGTTGCTTCTGATTGGGGTTTTTTTCTTTTCCTTACTGTAGCTCCCTGCACTTTTCACGCCAAGAAAGAATGATTAAAGTATTTCAGTTTTATATATCACAATTGTGAAGACTAGGAGACTTAATAAAAAAAGGGGATTTTGATTCCCACCCACGAGTTTTGATAAGAAGTATTTACCTTCTATGAAGCTTATTAGTTTATTTAATTTTATTTCTAATAAATACAAATCACAACAAAAAGATTTTGTAACAGTCCCCTTACTTCATCAGAACTCTAAACACGTTTTTCCTATATAAGCTACTCATCCGAGTGGAATAATCTTCGTATTTTCGGGAAGAAAACAAAAGAAGGAAGATCGGTGTCATGGAAGGGTTAGTTTGAGTTGTTTTCCAATGCCTTTGTTCCTGAGTCTTATGGCCCCTGCTGAAGCTTCGTTTTTTTAATGTTGTTTTCAGGTTAGACAAGACAGCAGCCGCATCAAATGAGGTAAAGTTTCGAAATTCGTACAATGTCCTGCATTCCTTTTTTTTTGTTATTTTTTATTTGGGGTACCTAAATGCGTGGGTTTTGGTTATGCAGATCAGGAGCCTGCATTCGTTTATGACTGACTTGGAAAAAAGTCAGCTATCTATGAAAAGGGAGTTGAAGGGTGATATTAACGACTTGAGGACAACAGTGCACTTGTTTAGGGACCTGTTGATTGGGAGGTTCGGTGGTAACTCTGAAAATGGTAGAAAGGAGAAGAATGACGATAAAGTCGAAGTTGTGAACTTAAGCTCGGATAGCTCGTTTTCCTTTGCAACAAGGAGTAAACATGAGACGAAAAGCACAGTCAGCAGAAGAAAGGTACCCCTAGTCACACTTTTGTTTTTTGTGTTTATGTGATATCAGTGTTTTAATACATATGTTAAATGATAGGGGAAAGCGGTTAGAAAGTCTCCAATTAGGTTGCGGAGTCCTATTTGGACCCGGAAAGATCCCGAGAGGACTAATGCCAAAATAAAGGTGATCGGCCCCTTCATCACTACAAAGTCCCTATCAAAAAGGGATCAGTGGTTGATCAGCCACGTTTTTTATCCATTCAAGGATGAAAGGTATTAAAAAAATGTGTTACATTGTTATTAATTGAGCATAATTCATTTTCTGCAAGTTAAAAGCACTCAAAAATTATTTGTATTGTCTGTTGTTGGTTGTAGTGAGGCGCTGGTTAGATCTCCATGGTTTCATCTAACCCGTGGAGAGTTTAAGGTATTAGTGCCGGAAATACCATTGTCTACTCAGGTTCGTATACAACTTATCTTGATTCTTTAATTTATAAATGGCTTAGTAAAGGAGCAAAGTTGTGTAACATGATATGTGGTTTGACACTGTTTATTTGTGTAGGTGATCACTATGTGCGTTGACTTGTTAACGGTGTCGGAATTGGAAAATGAAAAACCTATGAATTGGTTCTTACCACCGGCATTTGCTGTAAGTTCATAAGTTGTATTTGGTATTATTTTGCATATCCTTAAAAGTGGTAATTGGATATATTTCAAACTCTACTGTATGCTAAAAGTTATTTTTGGTTATAAGAGTCTTCATTATGAATGATTGTATAGGGTTGTTCAAATCTGTTGAACTTTAGGCCATAATTTTTGTGCTGTTATTAGAAAATCTCGGCCAGTCACTTAAATTTGTTGTCTGTCATTAAAAAAACTTGAACTTTAGGCCATAATTTTTGTGCTGTTTTTTCAGTGTGAATTTATTGTCATGAGTGGAACCTGAAACTGGAATCAGATATGTTGTCATTCTTGTGATAAATTATGGATTGAAAAGTTCTAGCGCCACCCAATCCTAGATGTGTTGCCCATTTTTCTTGAAATTCCAGAAACCAAATTTTTAGGTTTCATTTTAAAAGTTGTATGGCTGCTTCTGTGCAATAAACTCATACCACACTAGTGTATTTTCAGCACTTCTGTTCGAGAGGTGACATTGACATTATGAACCTGAATGGTTAGCACGTAAAAATTGGAACCTTATCTAAGTATCCATAAAAAGTGAATCGATTGTGTAACTATTACGATTTAATATGACTATTCTTGTAGGTGGCATGTGCAACCGGAGATCGCGTTTTTGCTTACCCTGAGAAAAGAATTAAAACAGTGTACTGCTCTGGGGACTTCAATGATTGTGAGAAGGTAACTGTTGCAAATGCTGGAACCTCTTAGAATTTCGTGATGGATAGAATTTTTTGTTGAGGTTTAAGTAATGTGTGTACAAGTCAGATTTTTGTCCCGGTGCTGCTGGGTAGCCACTTCTTTCTTTCTGTTTTTGACCTTAAGAAAGAGGTGATTGAAATATGGGACTCACTTCCAAATTGTGTCGATCCAATTAAGAGGGGAGAAAAAGTGTCACTGATTGTAAGTCATCTTGGGCATCTAAAAGGCTATGTTATGTATTCAATTTGTATATATGCTGACATATTATGTACTTGCTGTAGGCAAAGGAACTGGACTCGATCTTTTTTGAATCAGTCATGAGGAGATTCGAAGCCAAGATGTTTTGCACTTTCACCATCGTAGAGGTGGTCAATGCTCCGCGGCAAGAGAATGGGTATGTTTATCTTTCTAGTTTCTCATTAGTTGGTTTGTTTGTAATAAGCTATTTGATTGAATTTTCGATTTAAATGTTTTTGGGCCAGGTTCGACTGTGGGTTGTTTGTGTTGAAGTTGATGACATGTGGTGGCCATTTGGATGAGTGTGCCCGGGGACTGAAGAAGAAGGTAGTTTATTCCCTTATCTTGTTATTATTGTTATTGAAGTGTTTTTCGTCATTTTCTGATTGCTTCTTTATTTGCATTTTTCAGTTTGACAGTGAAGAGGAGAGGCTTGGTCTAGCTCTGTACTTGTTGAACAATATGGAGAATATGGAGCGTGATGCTCTCCATCAGAAAGTACTCATGGAAAGTGTTAGTGGAGGTGATTCCGTGGAGGGCGGTGTGGAATGGAGTGGGACTCCTGAATAATTAGGGAATGGCAAGACACTAAGATTTTGATGTATTTGTTTTTTCCCAATCAAAGAACTGGAGCAGTTTCTGCTAGGTGCTTTTGTTTTTGTCATATTTTCTTTTGTTTCTAAACGATCGTTACTGCATTGGAATTTCCAAATTTGTTTTTTGTTTGCTCGTAGAATCGTTGTGTTGTATTTGTGCTTGTTATCGTTGTTTGTAGCTACGATGGCAGCAGTTCTCCATGGTTTATGGGTATGTTGTCCAACTAGAGATCGACTTCAAGGAGTATTTGAGCAATAAAAGAACAGCATTCTGCTTTCAGAAAAAAGCAATGTACGATTGTACATCATATTAGTTTGCTTTTGGATCGAGTCAAACCATCTAGCTATACATAGACTCTATTCTTACTCGGATCATAAAATTTGTATCATACCGTGTATTTTAGACTACACTCTAGTAGTTGAATTGCCTTATCACACCTCACAATCACATAGAAAGCAATTTCTCAATATGCGCTGACTCATACCAGAAGTTGAAATCCACCACTCCCAGAAGACACAACCAAGTTGTACACTTACAGAAGTTGGAAGCAAATAAAGGATTCCCACTTCCAACTCCAAAGCATTTTCAATGGAAAACACACTGCTAGACAGCCTCGATGAAGAACCATTTCAAGGGATGATTCGAACAAGAGCCTCCAGAATGTGGGATGCAATCAACATCAAATCCAAATCACTATTTTTGACTCTTCAAAGGGTTGCACTGTTGGGGAGACAAATTATTGATGTTGCTGTACAGTAAATACTAAATGGCGCAACATCACATTATGCAACGATAATGATTTCAGTATCTGGCTTGCTTTATTATCATACACACACTAGATATGGGTCTGCTTCTAATCCTACTGTATCACACGGTAGAGATCACGAACAACCCATTTACAATCTCAGCGTCAGCAGTTACGACTACAAAGCTACGCCTAGTCCGAAAATTCAAAGAAAAAGCATCACTTTTTCTGGAAATGAGTGATTGTAGTCGTGTTAGCGAAAATTGCATACACGAAATGAGCCAGCCACTTGGAAGCCGCATAACACAACACATCCAATATCGCCAGCCCAATTCTTGTGGCAGTTGAGATCATCCCTTGCTTTGTTGCTGCAACAACGCCAATTATGGCAATAGCAAGCACCTTGAGAATGATCTCAGCAGCATTCAGACACTTGTATGCACGGTTGCAGCTGGTGCAGTTCACCACATGCGTCCAGTACCTATCCATAAGTTGCTATCGGGGAGGAGTTGGAGGAAGATCGGCCGTATACTTGCCTCTCCAATCAACTTCACTATCTGGATACTTGTTCAACCATCGTCTTAAGCCAACAACCAGACCATCGGACTTGGCAGGAAACTTGAGTAGCTTCACAAATCAAAAAGAAAATGAAATCAAGTGACAAATGAAGTATTGGCTCGTCAGTAATCAAAATCTATCCTTCAAAGGCTGTGTTGGTACCAGCCCATAATGTGCATAGGGAAGATGAGCATGATCTGCAAGATTCTCTATCAATACATCATGCCTAAACCAATATACGCAAAAGGTAAGTGATTAATTTCAAAACCAATGCAACGATTTTCATCAACATTATTTTCAATAAGAGTTCCAGAGCAATGAGCTTTTTTTAACCCACACCCATGATCTCGGTTTCCTATTATCTTAGTGAATGATGGATCACCCAGCTGTGGAATGAAAGGAGGCTTCTTTTTCCCAAAGATATCTCTGTATTGAGGATCAGAGTTGGGACAAAACCACACGATGTCATGATGCACTATTGTTGGATAAACTGCAACACAAGCCATTTTACTTGTGTGAACCTGCAATTTTATGTCCCCAAGTTCATCCCTACATTAATAATCGGTGTCCATAATGATAGAAAGAAGCGATCAAGGAACAGGAACTATATGATCACAATAAGCAACTACTACTTACTGGAGGGCCATCAGGAGGTGCTTGAGGGATGAGCTTGCAGTCGCCGGAGCCATCAAAACACCAACCGTGATAAACGCATTGCAGCCTTCCCGACGGATCAATCCTCCCTTCAGACAATGGACCCACACGGTCAGGAAACATATCGTCAAAAACCTTCCATGCATTCTCGTTCCTGTCTCACCACACCACCACGTCCATCCCCAACACCTTCTTCGCATGTGAGGTTTTAAAATTGCTAGGGTGGAAAGGTGGCCTTGCTGGTAATATCACGTTAAGTTTTTTCTCACACAGGCTACGGTTGGAGCATTTCTCAGCTCCCTGCAATTAGAGTAACCAAGCAAAATAGGCTGACTTCGCATTGGCTCAAACCACAAGACAAGACTAAGCTCTTACAGTTGAGATTTTTTTTTTCTTTTGCTGCAAACCACCCGTCAGGTCCGATACTGGAAGTTCTGCCTCCTCAGATTTGTAAAATATAACGTAGCAAATCTTTTGAAGAGCAATTTTTTTACCCGTTATCATAGTTCAAAAAAATAACAAAAACTTCTGCACGCTGGAAATAAGGAACAAAGCAGTATATTCCCAAATAGTACCGTTATCATCTCAGCAAAGAAATGGAACTGCATCCTTGAAAAAAAAATTAAACAAAAATACGGATTTGAATTGTGAGGAACACGTATGCAGAGAGAAAATTGGAGGAGTTGATTTAGGTTAGCGTCTCCTTCACAAAGTCCCTCACGATCAGTTGCTTCTGTTCATGTACGCACAGAATATTGGAATTGGCTAACTGGTTTCTTCTACACAGCATCTGCGCAACTCAACAACAGCTGCCCACATGGAAAAGGATGGGAATCACCCTAGCACAAGTGTTGGTTTCAATAGTGAGAGAGAAGCGGATCGAACCGCAGAGGCAGAGGCTGCCGATCAACCGCAGCATAATGCTGATTTGAATGCCGAGAGAGAAGGGAATAGAAATCTGCCAATTGATACCAACATTTTGGAGTCAGAAACCCCTTCGAGTGGAGATGAAGAGGAGACTGAAGTTGCATCCGAAATTCAGCATGACGAAGTCCGTTTGATCGGAGAAGAAGAGGAGATGGAAATTTTGGCCAACCTTAAGGCAGAGGATGTCATCGGTCGGAAATTCAATAACATTGACGACGCTTACAATTTCTATAACAAGTATGCAAGAGCTTGGGGCTTCTCTGTGAGAATTGAGAGGAAAACTGAAACCAAAAAGGGGGAAATAACTTCTCGGAAGTTTGTTTGTTCAGCTGCGGGAACAAAAAGCAAACGGAAAAAGGAGCTTACGAAAGCTGTGCGCTTGAATACTCGATTTCATTGTCAAGCTTTTATGCGTGTTCGCTTGGACAGGTATGACAAGTTCTTTCCATTCACAATTTGATAGAGCAAACTAGATTTACGATTATGATTGTGACAATGTAGTATTCTGACATGCATAATCATATTTACTACTGATTGAACTAATGTTTGTTGGCTTGGGCAGGTTAGATTCTAAATATGCTATAGTTGCTTTTAATGTAACCCACACCCACGATCCCGTTTGTCCACAATTGGTGCATCATATGAGATCGCATAGAGGTTTAGATGAAGCAACAAAATCTGAAGTTCGATTCCAACGAGATGCGGGCATGAAAATTGCCGACATCATGAATCAGCATGTTCAAAAAGCTGGCGGCTATGACAAAGTAGGTCATACGAAAAAGGATTTGCATAATTTTGCATCCAAAGATCGAGAAGATAGGATTAGTGAAGGTGATGCAGCTACTGCACTAGCTTATCTAAAGTCAAAAATGAGCGTAGACAATCACTTCATCCTCGAACCCACTTTCGATGAAGATAAGAGGCTTTGTAGTGTTTTCTGGGCGGACAGCATAAGCATAGCCGATATGTCATGCTTTGGAGATTTGCTAGCTTTTGACACCACATATAAGAAAAACATTTACAACATGCCGCTAGTTGTTTTCTCAGGTGCTCAACTTTTGCCTTGTCAAAGTCGTTCCATCACTCCACATTGATATGCAACTCTATCTTCTATGTAACTATACATGATTTTTGTATCATTTTTAGGTATCAATCACCATCGCAAGAGCTGTATATTTGGATGTGCTTTAGTGGCTAACGAGACAGAAAAGAGCTATGATTGGGTTCTGGGGAAGTTGAAGAAAGCAATGGGAGACAAAGAACCTCGTACGATTGTAACAGATGGTGACAAAGCGATGAGAAATGCCATACAAAAAGTGTTTCCTGCTGCAACTCATCGATTATGTTCATGGCATATCGCCAAGAACATTGTGAGTCGTCTGAAGAATAATAAAGCATTTGAGCCTGAATGGAAGAAGTTTGTATATGCTGATCTTGAAGCGGTTGAATTCGAAGAAAAATGGGTGGAATTGGTCTCGAGTCACAAACTGGAAAATTGTCAATGGGTTTCGGATTTATTTGACAGACGAAGGGAATGGGCATACACATACCTCCGATCTTACTTCTTTGCAGGTTTGTCAACAACCTCTAGATGTGAAGGAATCAACTCACATCTAGGAAGGTATGTAACCGAGAACCACAATTTGCTAGAGTTTTTATCCATTTTGATCGATGGATTGGAGAGTTGCGGGAAAATGAGGTGAAATTGGATTTTCAATCTACCCATAGTGTCCCGGAGATGAAACATCTAGCATTGAGAACACTTGAAGAAAGCGGTGCAAAGATATTCACTAACAAGATATTCCGCAAGTTTCAAAAGGAGCTTGGAATGGTGGAGGGTTGTATCAAGAGTAATTTTATGGTAGATGGAAGTGTGCACAATTATCAGGTAAGCTTGTTTGGAAAACAGAAGAAGTTCACTGTCAGATATGATGTTGAAACCAAGGAAATGGAGTGCAGTTGTGCTAAACTTGCATACATGGGAATCCCATGTTCCCGTATTCTCTATTTATTGAAAGAAGAGAACATACCGACGATTCCAGAAGAGTTGGCATTAAAAAGATGGAGCAAGAATCCTAAGACTATAGAAGTTACGCAACAACCACTGGATATCAATGACCCTTGGCCATTTAACGTTAGGTATGGGCTGCTGCAATTTTCAGCATCGCGGTTTTGCTTCCTAGGGGCAAATACAGTGGATACTTTTCAGTTTGCAAACAAGTTAATGGCAACTGCGTGTGACCAGTTGAACAACATGCAAACTGGTACTACTGAGAGGTCGACAATAGAGATACCAGAAGAATACAAAGCTGTAAAAAACCCAATGAAGGTAGCATATAAAGGTGGTAAAACTGGAAAACGGAAGAAGTCGGACAAGAAGCATCGGAAGTGTGGTCGATGTGGAGATGAAAGGCATTATAGAAGCACCTGTGATAAGCCTGTGGGATATGTACGTCCTAAATCACCGGGGTCAGATGAGGAAAATGATGATGGAAACGAGGAACCAGATTATTCAGATAAGAATGGTCCAAACAGTCCACCACGGCAGGTGAATTAAATAGGCTAATTCTGTGAATTTACGAATCTTACAGTGTGTTTATTTCCATGGTTTATGATATCTTTGTATAATAAATCTATAGTTTCTGATTTTAACACTAGTTTCTTTCATTTTGCTGAAGCGGCGGAAGACTAGGAGTAGTACCAAGCAGACTGAAGGTCAGTCCAATAACACTACTGGTGAACAAAACGAAGGGGTTGTTGATGGTTCACGAGACGGACCTGGGAAGTTATTAGTTGTGAACAACACTACCTATGAAACAAATTAAATTCATCTTCTAATTTTATTCTAACAACACTAACGTTTTATATGACAGCAGAGGAAAGTAGCTACAAATGAAGAAGAAAATGATGACAACAATGATGAAGAAGGTAGCTGGCCCCCAAAGGTCAGTGGAATGACAGTATCCAGTTTCTTAATGTCTCGACCTATTCATTATGAATTAGTGTGGTGACAAGTATGGACCTTTTTTTGTAACAGACCATGCCACGTACTAGAAGTGCTACTAAAGGTAACAGAGAGCGCGCAGAACCCAGTCAACGTGCACAAACTTGTGTGCAACCTCCAACTGATGAGCCTCCACAGGTACGTGACGCAACGTCATGTGTTCAAGTATACATAATATCTGGCTTAACTGTAATTATATGTGATTATATATTTTGTGTTTGTTGTTACAGACGAGGAGACGAACTAGAGATAATGGCAGGGGAAAGAACATCATCAACTAAGCATGAAGTTGGCCTCTATCTATGCTTGTTTAGCTTTTTTTTTATGGATTTGGATTTGGAGAACAAAGATTACCACATTCATTGAAGAACAAAGATTGTTGTATTTCTAGATAATAGCATCAGAGCTCTTGCATTTATATATGTTGCTTAGAATTAATAATGAAACATACCCGGATGGGTGGAACATGTCTGCCAAACAGAACTCCCTCTTGCATTGGAGGATTGACTCGACCTGCTTCATCGACATACAAAAGCCCCTCTTGCATCCTGTAAATGGCTAAAGTATCAGTAATTGACTATGTAAGTAGGATAGTGTAGCAAAATTCACCTTATTAGAGTCCCTTTCCTAATGCAGTATCGCTTCAATCTTTCCCACAGCAGCACTTGAACCAGCCTACGTAGTTATACAACTTACATCGTTTCAGTATTTTAATAATGATACCAGAACCTCTATAACAAGAACTAATGGGAAAAGCCATCCATTACCATTCACAACCAACAAGAGGTAGTAGGTACAAACTTGCAGAAACTTTTTGAAACTTCTTGTCGATTTGCAAAATAATTGCCTTGCTGCTCAAGGAACCACCATTTTGCAAGTCGATGCATATAGGAGACTCGAGTTTATCCATTTTCATCAGTTGGCTGGGGAAATGACGAGAAGTTTTAAAAGAGGCACACGTGACTAAGCATTCACTAGTTCTATTCAAAAGACTGAGAAATATGTAGGATGAGCAACTCACCAGAACTGGATGTCCAATTACGCTGTTCAAGACATCAGATTTACCAGCACTCTTAACAGATGACAAAAACTGTAATAAATAAATAAATAGCAATGTGAGTTAGAAGTAAACTAAGAAAATACAAAATACAAAGACATCAATACATTCAAAGTTCAAACAGAAATGAAAAGA